CGAGAAACGAGGAGGGACGAGGACATGGTCTTTCCGGAGTTCAGGTGATGGGGTAACGGTCAGAGTCTGCCCTACGAGGAGAGTGCTCGAGCTGGGCTCGAGCTGGAGTTCACGTGGTCTAGGACACCATGTTCGAGGGCAACGGCGGGCACGGGTGCAGCTTCTGGTTGACGTGCTATTGGGTCTCCCCAGGGCGCACGCTCCTTGAAGAGTTGCTTGGATTGGGCCTTCGTTCTTGCTCTTGGGCTAGGACGGGCCCAGTCCAGAACAAGAGCCCCCTAAGTCGTGGCTCCTGGAGCAGGAGTTATGACTTGATCTCAGCTCGCCTTTGTCACGGGGTCTCATGCCCGGCCCAGGGTATTTGCTTCCATGTGGTTGCTCGAGGAGTTTCTCATGAGTTGCGTTCGTGGGGTAATCCCTTTCGAGGCGTGCTCAGGGGATTCTTTGCGGGCTGTGCTCGTTGGGTATACGAGGCAACCCTTGGGAACCGTGACGCCACCCTATTGAAAGTAGAGCCATCATTGCCTAGGGGAGTAGACGTTGAGGAGGGGAAGCTCGTGGTTCCCCAGGGTGACGTTTCGTATTCCACGTCATCTCTATAAATAGGATCCTTGGGTCCCATAATCTGTTTTTCCTCTTCGCGCTTCTCCTCCTTCCTCTGTCTTTGCCGCCGCTGTTTTTCCAGAATTTTGTAGGACCACCGTGCCTTCCGCCGTCGATTTTCTTCACTGCCACTGTACATCCTTCCTAACTTCCAAGTAAGCGTCTATCCCTCATATTTTTCTCTGTTGTAGGTAATTTTTTCCGTTATTTGTATGTTAGAAAATCCGCATCTGGGATTAGCTCCCGGTACATTCGTGTTCGTGCCCGGTATATTCATGTTTGTGCCCGGTAAACGCATGTTTGTGCCCGGTAAACGCATAGCTTTAGGTATGTGACTCGCGATGCTTCCCGGGATCTTCATGGTTTTGGGCGCATAACCTATGATATTTCCCGGTAAATCCATAGTTCTAGGTTTAAGATTCATGATATTGCTCGTCATATTCATAGTTTAGGTCGACGTACTCATGACTGGTCGGGATGTTGGCCCATTTAGGAAGTATGTAGGACGACTCGTCGCGGAACCTTAGCGTCGGGGAGGTGAAACCAGGCTCTTGTTCGAGTCCTCAACGTTTTAACGCGCGCGGAGTGTGACTTGGCTTGTCGTGCCCTTCTTCCCATCAGTTATGGCGAGCGTGTGGCTTTTCTCTCGAATTTCACTGGTTTCCTGTGCTTTGCAAGTAAAATGGCTGACAAACCGGAGTCTTCGGGGTGCAACGAGGTCGAGGACCAGAGTGCCGAGGAGAATGTAACTCTGATTGATACCGTTGATGATCCTTTGCTGGATTGGGTGGGCGCCGAGCCCAGAGGGATTGCCTCGGCATATAGTCGGTGCAGTCGGAGCGCCTACACTATCGTCGAGCATGGCGGTAGTCAACCGGGCTTCCAGAAAAACTTTGTTGTCACAAGACCGTCTCTTGACGCGCGGATCTGCTCGGAGTTCTCTGAGTATGGTTTTCCCATGTATGAAATCGCGTTCAAGGACCTCGGTCTCAAGCTCCCCTTTAGTGATTTCCAGGTCGGGGTATTCTGTCATCTGGACTTGGCCCCCTCGCAGCTTCACCCCAATCAGATCGGAAAAGACACAAATCTTCAGATCGGAATAGTCATAAATTTTGCAGCATACTCAATAATCGACATACTCCCTTGCTTTAGCTCAAGGAACTCAATCTCCTTCTTACCACGAACGTCTTCAGGAAAGTAGTTCCTCAGAAATTCTCTATGGAACACAACCCAAGTAACATTTTCACCTGCAGCTTCCAAGCTCTGACACATCTCTAGCCACCAGTCATCAGCTTCGACTACTAGCATATGAGTACCATATTAAACCTTCTGCGCTGGAGTGAAATCCATCACATAGAAGATTCTCTCAATCTCTTTCAACCAATCCAGTTCTCCGTCAGGATCATACTTTCCCTTGAAGGTAGGCGGATTCTCTCTCTGGAAAGTCTCCAAACTACGAGATCCAGCATTCCCGTCAGCATTTGACTGATTCTCCATTGCATGTGCCATTGCTTCTAAAGCAGCAATAAGTGTAGCATCATTCCTTCCAGCCATCTCAACTTATCTCTACAACATAAACAAATGTTAGAACTCAAATTAATAATACTCGATTGTTAGACAACTACGACTCGACAACCTGGTCGGACGGACCGACTTTGATCTGATACCAACTTTGTAACACCCCAATTCTACCCGACAATATAAATGTAAATCACAGTTATAAAAATTATACAACTGAATCAGGATGTCAGAAATTCAACTTAAAAACCATTGCATTCAACATGGATACATAACACTTTAAAACTTTGGATGAACTAACAGCAAAACAAATTAATCTCTTAAATCAACAACTTGAACAACTACGCAGCAGATTCATAATAACATCTTTATCTAACATTAAGCAACTTCTGAATAACAAGTACTTAACCACAAGCATCTTAAAGTCCAACAATTGAAATAATCAACAACTAAACATCAAGCGTTCATCCCCCGAGTGTTACCTATCAGAGCAATGACACCGTCTCGAACTACTGAAGGTCAACCGTCTTCACTCTAGATTACCTGCACGTTACTAACATAAGGGTAATATTCAAACAGAAGGGGTAAGATATCAAACACTATAATAGAACGTATGATAAATATTAATATTAGAATCAGTTCATACAAAAATCACAACTTCACAACAACCATCACAACAGGATATCAAAAAAATACAACAATTAATTCATCAACACAACAACTCAATTATACTACTTGGAATGCGACTCAATACTATGCGAATGCATGTGGTACCATTAGAGAAGAACTCCCATCTTAAAAACTTACCAATTAATAGAGACATCAACAAGATATAAACCTCCTTCGCAGTTTGCCAATCCAGGCCATCAAAGAGTATACAAATGTATATGAATGCACTATCACATACTCACAACAATCATCATTCATCGCAAAGGCCTAAGTCCACATCACCATTATTACCAATAAATAGAGGTAATTCATCATCATCTAAATTCCCTGCAACTTCGCATTATCAACAAGATTCCACAAAAGAAATCATAACATCACAACAACTCGACATAAATCAACGATTCGGTCAATAACATCATCAAACAACAACTTAACAATAATTTCACACATCACTGGTAACGACCAAAACACAACATGTACGAGCAAAAGGGATAGGGAACTACGTGCCCCTCAACATGCACAACAACCAGGACAACATGGAAACTAAATCACACTCCTCGACACGCACAGGGAAAACAGGGTAACGACCAACTTACGCTCCTCGACATGTTCTACAACCTAATACTGCTCGACAATGCAGCACATACCCTCCCAGGCACGCCTCGCAGCCTATTATGCCGCTCGGTACTTAACACCATCAGCATCCTCCTCAACCACTAGTTTGGCCAACATCACATACCCAACACAACGTCTTAACGACCACACCACTATAATTCCTAACATTCGGCCAACCGCTCGGAATAACGCAGCAATGGGCAAATATATTCCTATCGACAGATTCGTTCATTATACAAGATCGACTACAACAATAATTCCTAACAACCGGCCAACCGCTCGGAATAACGCAGCAACGGGAAACTATATTACTATCGACAGATTCATCAACATACAAGACAGTCACACTGAACCTCCCTAAAACGACCACTTCAACTGCTATAAACATTTCCTGCCAATCGCTCAGAATAACCTAACATCCTAACGACCAGAAATCAACTATCCTAACCTATCCATCGATTAACCGGGCAGTCACACAGATACACCAGACATCTACAACACACAATCGGGAAACTCCCTGTAACATCTCCATTAACCAGTCATACAATATTCTTCTCAACGACCACAACATGAATAAAACGGGCAACTTCGATAGCAATTCAGAAACATCAACGCACATCATGTTTACAAACGGCCAATTTCCACATAATACGCATCATAAGTCCCATTATAAGGTCAGAACCCAACCCTTACCTGGATTGAAGGTCGCTCAACCAAAGCTTCGATCCTAATCCTTGATTTGCTCTTGCTCGACACGGGGAAGCTTGCTCCTCGTCCGCGCAGCTCTACCGGTCAGCGTACAAAATCCTTATTCTCCAACTAAAATAAATCCTTGTGTTAGCTTCTCCTTATATATCAGTTCTTAATGGGCCTAACCTACACCCCCACTTTACTACTTCCATCCAATAATATAGGTCCAACACATATTTCATATAATCTCTTTAATTTCACATTATAATTATTATTAATCACTAATTAATTAATTAACTAATAATAATTCAACAACTTATATCAATAATTCTCAACATCTCGCAACTTCACAAATACTCCAAAAATAATAATTTAATTAAATAATTAATTAAATTACAAGCGTTACAATCTCACCCCATAGAATCCTTAAAATCTCTGGCAACCCCTACCAACCTAAGGTAAGGCTGGTTAAAATGGATAAAATCCTTAAAGCCTCTGGAAGATCCGATGATGTTTGACGAGTTTATTAAATATTAAAATATAGATATATCATATTGAAAGTCCAAAACTTTTAATAAATGAGATTTGATATCAAATGATTCAAATCTACATATAGAAATTCAAATCACAAGTTAAAAAGCTCTTGATTCGAATCAAACAATTTTGTGAATATATTCAAACATAAATAATTTTACATTAATTTTACATTAAGTTCACTATTAACTAAAATTTGTTTTACAAAACCTATTTCAACTGCTTTAGAACCAAGCACACAATAGTCGATAATTAAAAGTACATAACAATCACCTTCTTTAAAAACATTATTTTTCTAATCACCCAAAGTCACAAACATGAAACAATATTTCCTTCCTGCACACATTCATAAGTCCAAAGTAAATAACTTTCTATGCTTCTTCCATCCCATCAACTCCAACAATCACAAGCTCTTTCTCAACACTGTCATTAGTCTCAACAATGTTGTTTTGAACTTTGTACTCATGCTTCATTGCCAAGAAAAGAAAAAAAACAAAATTCAACACTCCAAGCACTGCTAGCAACCAATAAAATTCATCTAACCTACCCTTATCAAGATTACTCTTCAACCATCTTTTCTTGCTTACTTTGTCCACAATTGAAACCAATAAGCTACTCACAAAAAATCCCGTTGAAAGTGTAGTTAGGAAAAAACCAGTACTCATAGATTTCATTCTTTCTGGTGCTTCCCTTATGAAAAACTCTAACTGTCCAACATAAGCAAAAGCTTCTCCAGCACCAACTAGAAAAAACTGAGGTATAAGCCAAAAAGCACTTATTGTAGTTCCTTTTTTGACTGCATTATCCCTTCTTTCTTTCTCAACAATTGCAGAAACTGCCATTGCAACAATAGAGAAAATAAGTCCAATTCCAACTCTTTGAAGACTTGTGAGTCCTTGAACATTGTGAGTGAATTTCCTTGCTATCGGTACAGTGAATTTCTCATTTAGGGAAGTGAAAAGGAGGATTGTTATGAAGAGAAAAGCTGATAAGGATCCTGCTGGGATATCTAGAGATCCTACTTTTCTGTTCATGAATGTTGCTTGTTCAATAGTGAAAGTATTCATTTGTGAGTAAACTGTCCAAAAAAGGATGCATGTTGACCAAATTGGAATGAGCTTGATTACCATTTTAACCTCTTCAACTTCAGTCATTGTTGAAACCAACCATGGACTTTCTTTGTTTCCATCTTTTGAATTTCTCTCTTCTAGGATTGCAGCTTTGTCAAGAGACCTATCATACAAAATCCATGCAGTGAAAATATATTTCTCAAACAAAAATTTCAAGTCTAAGTTTAAATGGATTGCATGTGGCCAATATTTCACAGTTGTAATTTTTTACGTATGCGCAAGGTTGTCAAAATCTCAATCTAAGTCTTAAAATCCTATGATTTTGTAATCTTCGTTACTTCCAACGATCCATAAGTAGAATCGTGTGTAAAAAAATAGTAAAACCATTGATTATGATTGATCTTGGCCAGTTTCGGCCATGATCCACAGTTTTCCAGGCACAACCATTACAAACCAAAAAGGATGATAAGATGGAAAGACATAATAATTATGGTTTGGCAGGCTGTCATTTTCTCACAAATACACTTGTATACCAAATATTAGGTAAAACACATCAAATGAATAGTAATATAGTACTATTTTAAATTTTAGTAGTATCTTACAATTTTAAGTTTTATGATCTTGTTACCTCCTTTTGATCTTACAAAAATAATTAGATAAAATCTTCTGATCCTAGTTAAGATTCTATGTTTTACGATCTTAATATTCCCACCCAATCTAATTATGCAAGATTCTGATCTTGACAAATCCGGATAAACCGTGTAATATCAAATAAGACGAAATATTTGTGGAGAATCTCACACGAAAAATTACCATATTTTAGAAGACAGAACATATTTAAGCATCTTTTTAGATTCCTTTAAGATATTTTGGTACATTGTTGATCAATCAAACATAAGTAATGTCTTTTTCTGAAAATGAACCATGAAAAGACAACATGATTTCTAAAAAGCAAAACACGTTTCCTACCACACCAATAACTAATAATAATAATCATCACAATCATGTTAAAGTGATTAGTAAGCAATAATTGAAGAGAAATCTAATCATGTTCATCTAACTAATCTAACGAATACTAGTACTATTCACTGCTTTACAAGAATGATGACAAGTACCTGACTCTGTCAGTATGTGGAACCTGAGCTTCAACATAACCATGGAGTAAAGAAGGATCTGAAGGTAGGGGAAGAGTCCTCTTTTTCCAAGCTAAGAACAATACTCTCCATATAACAGAAAAAGGACTTCCTTGTGGTTTCTTGAATCTATAAAATGAGGTACCACAAAGCAAAACACCAACTGCAACAACCATTGTTCCTGCTGAAATTCCGTATCCCCAACCTCTTCCTATATTGTCTTGAACATAGACCAAGACAATAACTGAGAATAAGGATCCAATGCTTATGAAAAAGTAGAATCTGTTGAAGAAAAATATCATTTTCTTTTCTTCTTTTGGATCTCTTGTGTCAAATTGATCTGATCCGAAACCGGATACATTGGATTTTATTCCTCCGCCGCCTAAAGCAATCGTGTAAAGTGCTCCAAAGAGAAGTACTAACTGTTTTCCTGTGGCGGGAATGCATTCATGGTGTTTTTTCCTTACTTCACTGCATGAAGGTGGTATCATGCTTGGAATTGTTGTAGCTAAAGTTAACAAACACACTCCCTATTGCATGCAAAACAATGATTCACAAGAAAAATAACTAGTTAGTTATTGCCTATGCACACAGACACCTCAGATTGAATTGACAGCGTGTCTGGTATCTAACACGTGACACTGATAAATCTATACAGATACATCATACTTCAAGGTGACAGCTAGAGAACTGTTACATGTTATCTGCATGAATTTTGAATGGTGTTTTGGTTTACGAGGTGTCAGTGGTAAGAGTTTGACATTTCATCGAAAACAGTTGAAAAATTGTCATATCAATGACATTTTAATTAACAATAATTGTGAATTCAACTTAAGATGAGAAAAGGGTGTGATAATAAATCCAAAATGGGAGATTCTGCAAGATTGATAATAATAATATATTCAAAGATTGAAATTTTTTACCATTGCTGCTATGGATGCAAATATGACTACAGTGACATATCTACCAAGCTTTGCATCAGCTAAAAAACCACCAAGAAGGCCAAGCAAGTTGAGTGTTCCCATAAAATTAGTAACAATGGTAGCAGAATTAGCTGAATCAAGATGCAAATCTCCAACCAAATAAGTCACTAAGTTCATGGATATTCCCATAACACATATTCTTTCAGCAAGTTCAGTACCTACATACGCGCGCGCATACACAAACACACACAATCAGATATATATGTATAAGTTGAAACCATATTAATGTTCAACCTTGAAAATTTCTATGGATTGAGAAGAAGAACCTAAGATTAGTCCTGCTGCTAACCATCCTCCAGTTTTTGTTTTGTCAACAGGGTGACCACGAAAATCGACAGCAGCATTATCTTCTGTGTCTGTTTTCTCTCCATTACTTGCAACAAGAACCTTTCAAAAACAAAAACAAAAAAACATTAAGCTTTCCAAAAAGATATTTAGGATTTGGAAACTTAGAAAAAAAATATGTAAGGTGAAGTGAATACCATGTTTTATGTTTTGTTGGAGAGAATAACTAGAGATAATGTTAAAGTGATTCAGCTCCAAAATACTTGTGGTGAAGACTATATAGAGGAATTAAAGGGAGAAGAATCAGATTTGAAATGATATAAAGTTTTTTTTAAATAATGATATACTTTGGCATATAACTATCCTTTAATAGGTCCACTTGTTATGTTATGTGGCCAAAAAATGCTGAATGTAAAAAACTGTGTCCCCATGATTTAGAATTATATGGTCTATGATTGTGTGGTATATATGTGTTAAATCTTAACTAGCCTTTGAAAGTGAGAGGCTTTGTACTCCTAATTTGGATCCTAACTCGCCGTCATGAAGTCATAGTCACAATGAACAAATGATAAAAGATAAGCATCTAGGAATGAAAGATCTTCTTTGTGAGTCATGGATGTTTTTGATAAGGTTTATGGAGTAATGATTGTTATTAATAAGTTGAATGAAGGTGCGTCGCGAATCTAAGGTTGGCTTGATTTGGCTTTTCCATATGGTAGTAGGTATATTTAGGCAGGTTTATTTGTTGAATCACCAAATTTAACTAAGTTCTCATGGAAAAAACTTTACTTTCTATGTTTTTAGAGAAGGCAACATTGTGAATATGGATCAGAATAGTTTAGGGTGACTTACATGGATCTAAAATCTAATCTATTTAAATTCAGAAATATTCATTTCATTTTTATAGGTGCTTCCACACCACCGTTAAAAGTTCATTTTTCTTTAGCGTCCGAAAATACATCTCCGGACGCATCAATTTTTACTATTTCTTAGTCTAAATTGAAGAGACGCCCTTATTATGTAAAAATTATTCGAGAGTGTTAAAAGTATAATTCTTCGTGTCGAAGTAGCTTGCTCGACAGAAAACAAGGAAGTGTCGAAGTGTGAAAACAGTTTGTTACACACAAATTTGATTTAGATCTAAAATAAATAGATTTTATTTAGGTCTAAAATAGATAGATTTAATTTAGTTACAAAATATGTATTTTGGACTTTTATAGTTTTGAATTTTGGCTTAGGGAGAAAGCAAACTCAATTATAAATAGAGGGAGTAACCCCTATTTTTGTAATCAAATCAATGAAGTTGTATTCACAGAATTTGCAGTTGCAAGTGAATAAGATAGTTTTCCACAGTTTGTGGGCAGAGAGTTACTCTGCAGAAACCCTAAATCTCTTTTCTTCTTTAATTTTCTTTTCTTTTCATTGTCATTGTGTGGTGATAACAATCTTGTTCATCAAAATTGATAGAAATTCATCATAGTAATTGGTGGATTTCCAACATCTGGTATCAAGGGCTCCGGTTGAGCGATCAAGGGAAGAAGAAGAAAATCAATGGCGATGAATTATGCAAGTGGAAATTTTCCATCAAATCTTCTGATTCTTAAAGGTGATAACTATGAGAATTAGTGCAAACAGATGAAGGTTATATTTTATTTTCAAGGTCTTTGAGAACTTGTAAAATATGGATTAGAACCACTTGATGAAGACGCTTCAGAAAAGGAAGAGGCGAGATACGAAGAATTGAAGAAGAAGAAGAATTATAAAGCTCTCTTTATAATTCATCAATGTGTCAAATCCAGACAATTTCGAAAAGGTTAGTGATGCTGAATCTGTAAAAGAAGTCTGGGAAATTCTGAAGAAATCGTTTGTAGGCGATGAGAAGGTGAAAGAGGTGAGGTTACAAAATCACAAAAGAACGTATGAATTGCTTCAGGTAGAAGATAACGAAAGAATATCTGATTTCTTCACTAGGTGTAACACCCTATTTCTCCGTCGGAAATTTAACCAAAAATCAAAGTAAATTAATTCATAAAATAAAACATCAAGAATAGGATGTCACATCTTCATACATCATACATGCTCGTATAAAAAGATACGCAACACATAGTCACTTATTCATCATGTCTGAACGTCGTTTCATTTATTCGCAACAGAAAGCATCACTAGTAATTATTCTCAACATGAGCGATAGTTATCATCGTTCAAAATTCAATGTAAAACATCAATGAAATCCAACAAATGGAGTCTACAATAGTTTACTCCCAACATAAACAAAACAAGCGCAAAATCTCTAAATGTTATGTATTCGAGCTAACACAGACTCGATCTACACAAAATGAGGCAACTCTTCAGCTAGCCTCGATCTCGAGCTACTTCAAATCATCTGCACATTACCCGCGTAAAGGCAAGATTCAAACAGAAGGGGTGAGATATCATAACAATATAAAAGAAAGCATAATAATGAGTAGATAGTAATTTAAGTACATATAATCATACTTTTTTACCTTACACCTTTATTTCATTCATCATACCACAAAGTACATCAACATATAAGCAAATATACACATAACACACAATACTCATCATAATATAACTCATACTCTTTCAGCATAAAAACATCAAGTTATCAATCATAATATAATGCAATGAGACCGACATTGACTCAATGGATGTGGTACCAACAAGGAAGAACATTCATTATAACGCCAACTTAGGACAGCAATATCATAATGCCAATACATGCCATCTCTCGCCAATGCAAATCATCTTTTGCCTATACAGGCCATCTTTCACCAATACAGGCCATTTTTCGCCAATACAGGTCATCTTATCATGAATGCATGTGACACTGACATGCAACAACGTAATTTACATTGATTATTCTTACTCATCAATTCCATACCAATACAAACCATCTTCTTCATCATTATCATGCAATACATCGTGCAAAACAATCGAATTATTCATACAACATCATCTTACTCAATCACAACACAATTCAGAGCATATTACTCAGGAACAGTGGCGGAGCCAGCGTCCGGCCAGGTAGGGCAGCTGCCCAGGCTCCGCCCGACCATGCTTCACCATCTCGCAATGGAGATCTTCTATGGCCATCTTCCGACACACCATACCATTAACAGATACACACCGCAACACCACTCTTGCCTTTCCGGTTTCCGTTCAATCAATTATCGGTGAGCATCACCTTCCTTCCTCCGCCGATTCTTTCTTCTTCTTGCTTCTGTTTCAATTCATATTTCCTACATCATTGTTGTTGTTTTGTTATTTGCAGTGGCGGAGCCAGCGTCCGGCCAGGTAGGGCAGTTGCCCAGGCTCCGCCCGACCATTCTTCACCATCTCGCGATGGAGATCTTCTATGGCCATCTTCCAACACACCATACCGTAAAAAGATACACACCGCAACACCACTCTTGCCTTTCCGGTTTCCGTTCAATCAATTATCGGTGAGCATCACCTTCCTTCCTCCGCCGATTCTTTCTTCTTCTTGCTTCTGTTTCAATTCATATCTCCTACATCATTGTTGTTGTTTTGTTATTTGTTGTTGTTGTTGTTGTTGCAGGTTGTGGTGTTGAATTTGTTGTTTCGTGCTATGTCCACCAAGTGTTCGGTAAAATTTCTGAACGAATATTTTTCTTATTGGGCATCCTAGAATCCAATCCAGAGAGTATATCAACTTTTCTATTGGACTACTGGAAAATCTTATGTACAAAAACTATCAATTTAAGTTAATGATAAATATTATGTGTAAAATTTATCTGTTTAAATGTGAAACATATGTGTCCATTAATTTGACTCTTCTACTTCTATTGATGTCTTATTGTACATGCAGGGAGTACTTCTGGATATTTGAAATGAATGAAGATTCTGGATATGTGAAAAATCTCAGTTAGTAACACCCAGAGACACGAAATATAGAAGTCAAGTGTGTGTAGAAAGGTTCTATCGTCAACGTCGAATTCGTTGAAGTCTTCGTTGCCTATGGTACTTATCTTGTGATCCTTCTTTTTTTAGAGATATAGCTTTGATGAAATGTTTAATGATTAATATTAATGACTGGCGTCTTTGTTGTGTTTGCTTAATTAATTGAACTAAATAAAAATGAATTAGACATTCCTGTGTCAAGATTATCTTGGTTTATTTTGTTAATAATGATTTTTATTGTTTGGTGTATTTTTCTCTTGTGAATAAATCAAAGGTTTAAGTGTGTGCAACTTATTTCAATATTATTGTTCTGTTATTGTTATAGTTTGTCATGGAATATTTTTTCATTGTATTGTTTCAACTTATTTGAATGTGCTTGTAAACCAGTATATTATTTCAGCTTTTGTATTGTTTAATTTTCATTGTAGTATACATGCTATGCATTTGAATTACTCTGCATTCTATTTCAAAGTTACTACTATATACTAATCTCTGCATTGTGCATTTGAGTTCCAGTTAACTATTAATTGTTTTCTGCATTCAGAATTCTACATACTAGCGTATACTAATTTCTGTTATCTGTTTTCTATTTCTTATATTCTGCATTTGATTAACTCTGTATTTTGTTTCAAAGATACAATTACTAATGTATACTAATCTCAGCCTAATACTAAGTGTATGTAGTTTTAGGCATAGTCTGTGATATACTAAAGCCCAAGCTCCATTATTATCTGTTACGATTCGTCAAAAATAATTATGTCAAATACGATTTTGGTAGAAAATTATGAAGTCAGTGGTGGAGCCAGTGAAAACTTGCCCATGTTTCATAATTTTTCTGACTCCGTAGTTGCTACATGCAGTTATAGAAATTGAGTTTAAGAAATGAGAAAACTTACTGCATGAACTATATTTTGTTTATACATGTGATATGAGTTTTATGTCACTGATTAATCTCTGTGAGTTAATTGATCAAGTGATTTTGTGCTCTTGTGTAAATTAGGTTTGATTGGGTCATTACTGTGAATGGAAAGAAGGAGAAAATAGCTTCAGGTTTGTTCAACCCCTTTTACTGCCACTTGAAGGTTGCTCAAGATCAAATGGCAAAGGTTGGTTATTCAATTGTTCTTGTGCCTGAGCACGAAAGCGATGCCACATGGTTTTCCAGAGGAAATATTGAAAGGTATGGTTTGTTATCATAATTTTTTATTTGTTGATAACTTAGATTGACATATCTTGGAATCATTGTTGTTAAATAGCA